ATCAGAGCTTGAGAGCTTTGCTTGCTTGCTTGCCTTTCCTTTTGCTGTTACACCAGAGAAGCTGAGACTTTGACCAATGTGGTATGACAAGTATTTGTTATCACGTTTCATTGCCCTGCAATGATAGTTCAAATAAAACCCAGATTTTGCATGCTCAGCCCATCCAGGCTGAACATTTCCATCTGTGACGTCCTTCCACCACAGTCAGTGTGGTGCATTAGGAGAGAGTTCATGTCCATAAGAGTCAGACTTTTGCAAGGGAGTCTTATATTTTGAGTTAAGGGTGTCTGTCATTCCCCAAATGAATAACCTAGTCTAAAATCACACCACAGCAACCCACTGCTCAAAGCTAACCCAAACATGAGCAAACTTCATTCAGTCCAAACATTTGAGACAGGAACCCAAGTTCTTTCGTTTTTATTTTTATTTTCTCATCACAAACAAGGAATGATTGCTACATGACAGGTAGTCCCAATAGCAGACACACAATAAGAAATATTAAAGAAAAGTTTTGATTGTCTGTCAGTACGTCCCCTTAGGAAAAACTGACACAAAATAGCTGACACTGGTCCTGGCTCCACACACTTATGCCATTTGATTTGATGTGAAGGGTGTGAAGCACAGCAAGTTGCAGCTGGCAGATGTTATTGCAATATTGAAGTATTTCACAGAGTAAAGGCACATACAGTCATGCTCTTCCTAAGAGTTTCTGTGTGCTTTCAGTTCAGCCTCATGGCTGTGAATACAGATACTGAAGTGCTCTCTGCATTTAATTGACAAGACCTGTGAAGTGATACAGCATGTTATTTTCCTTAACACTGCTCAGGTAAGCTGACAGTGGAAGTATAATAAGTATAAACTACTTTTAAACCATATAGGCCACACCTGCAGAAGTATGCATCTAAATTTCATGAGAGAATGTTTGTGGAAGTTTTTGGAGCAGGCTGTGGGGGGGTTTCTGCATGCAGACAGTTGTTCAGTATTTCGTTTTTGGATATAAACAGAAACAATGAAGCCAAATAACGCTGAAGTTAAACAAACCCTGAGATGATTTAACCAGTGGTTCTTAGAATATCTTACTTGAACTTAAATCACTTTTGTCACTCAGAGCCAGCTGCGTCATGGCCTAGCTACAGAGAATTTATCTGAAGATAAGTCAAGCATTGTGGCCTTCAAAGGTCAGCCTTTTAGTGGAGATTATTCTGTTCTGCTGTTTAAAAATAGAAATTAAATAGGGTTACAATTAACATCCAGACGTTAATCAAATGCAGTTCTCTTAGCATTCATGCAGTGTTTGTTTTGGTAAGCTACTTGCCAAATCTGAAAGCCAGAAAACCTGTGAGAGAAAAGAGAGGAACAAAGAATCTAGAGATTTTGTCTCATAAAAAGGTAACTTATATTTTTTATTTTAAGAGCCTATGGGACAGGAACCCTGTTGGTGCTTGTGGATAAGTGTATGAGGAGGAATTAGAAGGAAGCTACCTATTTGCAACATTCTGAAGTCTCAAAGTTTTGAATTTTTCCCAAACTTGGGGTATGTGAAGTAACAGAATAGCTGAAGCGGGTTTTTCTGGCTTAGGCAGGATCAAGAAAATATCCAAGCATCAGAGTGTGCACTCACATACACACACAGTGCCCCTTGATTTGGTATAAAGGTGTAGCTGGAAACCCTGGAGAAGGGGTGAGAGCTGCTGGGCTGCAGAGGAAACTCTCTGTTGGCCCCCAGCAGATTGCAGCAGCACCAGGAGGCCCCAAGGCAGGGGGCAATGGTCCTTCCACACCAGCTGCTGCTACAATAAAAAGTTTTCTTTCACCCTCGGAAAGGAGGAATGTTGAAATTTTAATGTTTAGGTTCCTTACAAAACTTCAAGAAATAAAAATTTGAAACACTTGCTATCAACTCTTGTTACATTAAAACAAGTGGAAATACTAGCTCAGCAAGTTGTCTCAATCATGATCCATCTGGAATTTACAAGAAATCGATGTACAGCTGTGAATAGTTTCAAATGTATCAAATTATCATTTTCTGGTGGAAAAACTGTTTCACTGGAAAAACTTCTGTAAGCTTCAGTACAGAAATCCCTGGACAATTATACAGTCCAATAGCTCAGCAAGAGTATCTCTCCTGCCATTTTATATTCTTTTGATGAAAGCTTCTACCTCCTATGGTTTTTGCAATGCACTCTTCTACTTTTTCAGTGTATCCAGTCAATAGAAGTCTTCTTTCCAAACACAAGAGAATACTCCAAAATAAGAAACCTATGGGTATCTGTTTCAGTTGTGCATGAAGTTGCTTGGGGCTAATGCCTTTCTTTGCACTATCCCATGGGAAGGCAAGATTTAAGGCCAAATGTTTATGTATTGCATGGGAAGGCGCTTGTAGGGAGAGTGCAGATTCACTCCCTGCCTCACTGCACAGAACAGACTCCCCTCACACAGCTGAGTGACCACAAATAACCAGTGCCACTGAGATTCAATATACATTATCATATTTTTGAGTCATTTGCTATTAGACTGTAAAAAGGGGGAAAATAACTTGAATAAATCAAAGGTAACAGACTGTCTTAGAATGTAGGAGGGGAGAAAAACCCACTCAATTGAATGGATAAATAGATCATTATGAAATACTACCTAGCATTTGGAGTTTTCATGCATGTGAAGTGTTTATTGATGCTTAGGTTTTACAGTGAATTAATACCTTAATCACAATGTTACTTGTAGATGTTTGTCTATTGGTTTGCCAAGCTCCTTTCTTGGTAGCACTTGCTGCCTTTCTCATGAAAATGATTCTTTTACTGTCAGTAAGAAACAAAAAGTAGTTAATTATTTTAATATTTAATTGTTCTGCTGACTTTTCTGTATGTCTGTAGAGGAATGGTAGGTTTTTAAATGCAACAGTTTTGTTGGATTTTCTCCTCCAAATAGTCTTTAAATGTGTATTAATTTATATGATTATTTTTTTTTTAGAAAAAGTGGCTGTTCGGCTGAACATGAAAATTTATTTTAGAAATGGCTCCTTCTGGGAAAAAAAAAACCAAAAAAAACAAAACTGGCAGAAATAGAGAAAAGTTCAAATATTGGAAGCTCCTTTCATGGGCTGACAGAAAAAAACCATCAAAGAGGGTACATTTATCCTGTGGACATCATAAGCTCTTATGTTTAGGACTGCATAATTCTGGAGAGGGGCTTTAATTACATTCTTTACCTTCATTCTTCATTTTTTTTTTTTTTTGTTACAGGTCAGTTTCTGTAGATAAGTAGCTGAAATTCAGGGAGACTTTCTGCAGCCCCTCTGTGATGTGGAAGACCTTGCTCCAAGCAATTGCGTGCAGGAGAGATTCGTACGGAGTAGAGCTCCCTCCCTGCAAGGAAGGAGGCTCACTTGCAAGGTCCAGCTTCTTTAGGAGAGGTCAAGGGTCAGGTTCAAAAAATGAGATCTGCTGATCTGGAAAGCCAGGGAGCCTCAGGATGATTATTCTGACCTGAGAGGAACAGGCAACCTGGGCACCATTTCATTGTCTCAGAGAACTGGGAGCAACTGCAAAGCTCTGGGACCCGTGGGCAGTATAACTCTCACCAACCTCTGAGGAGGCTGAAAAGAGAAGACTCAAATCCCTACCAGTAAATAAAGACCTGCTGAAGAGGAGATCAGTCTGGCTTTGGGTTATGGGGTATACTGCAGGGAAGTAGAGACAGCATGGATTTCTCAGGGGCTTCCTCTTAGCTGTAATGTAGGATGGAAGAAGCTATTCAGTGTATATCACTTGACAGTGTGTCAGGACCATTTTTCATGTAATAGTGCTATTTATCAAGAGGAAAGATGGCAAGTGCTTTGGGACTGGGGGTGAATTCAGGGGGGTGATGTGTCTAAGATGCCAAGTCCTGTGAAGGTACAGATCAGCAGTTAGACCAGAACCAAAAACCTCAAGGCTGTTACTGCAAGTAGGGGAAAGCATAAAACAATTGGCTTGAAGGGTAAGTACCAGTCCCAAATTAAGCTACAGGGCAAAGTCTTTCAAATGGTAGCAACTGCAGAGAAATACCTCCTGGAGGTCAGGCACTGTATGTGAGAGGAGTCTGATATCCCCAGAGGTAAGAAGCCTCGATGTGGTTGAAGAGGGAACTACATTTTCTCAAATTAATTGCCTTTTCAAAGATGGGTCAGCTTCTTATTGTCTGCTCAGAAGGCATGAAAAGGTTTCAACAGGCATGAGAAATTTAAAATGTTGTCTTCATTCTTCACAAAAGCGTGTACATTTGGTTCCCCAGCACTCAGATGAATAAAGCACTTGCTACATACACGTGCTGTGATTTGCTATTTTGTCTGATAACCTTCACTCTGAACACTTTTATGCCAGTCTTGACATGCTACTAGACATCAGAAAATTATAAGGACCATATAAGTTTAGTACACTTGAAGTGAAAAATGTAGTGAATAATGCAATATGTGTTATCTTACCTTTGCAGTGGAGAATTACAACAAAAACCTAATTTTTATGCTTGGATTCATGGCATCTGTACATATATGCACTGTTGGTTCCACAAATACTAACCTGGCTTGTGCTTCAAGATGTAAAACAGACACTACAGTTTCATTGACAGTCATGCAAGACATGCTGGAGAATGAGTTAAAGAAGAAGCCATCGCAGCTAATTCCACATACCCACTTCCCATCCCTCTATCTTTCCCAGATGCCACCTAATTGGTTTTGAATTGTCCTATTTAACCTTAACAAGCTGCCAGTGTTGATTGTGCAGGTTCACTGCACTGCTTGGTGCTTCTCAGTTCAGGAGGGTGCAGATAGGGTAGGAGTGGGGGGCAGAGAAAAGATTAAAAAAAACAAATGAAAAACCCAAATTAAAAGACCTCTGCCATATGAAGCGAGCATTTGTGTTTCTTGTAAAGTGTTCTTTAGAAAATAGTTATAACAAACTCTGAGAGAAATAAATCTTCCTGATAAGAGAAACCACTATGACTTGATATTAACACCCAGTACATGTGTAATAGGCTACTAGGAATTTATTTATATTTCCAGTCATTTAAGCTGGGTTATCCTGTGGGTTTCAGTTCAGTTTCTTTTGGATTTGCTCTTGCAATAATGTCTTGCAACAGAAATCTGTGTTTGAAGCACCAGGAAGGCTCCTTCTGTGTCTCCTGTCTTGGAGACTGTGTGCTTGGATTGGTTCTCCAGATGATCTGTGGAGTAGATATTTCTGTCAGCTCACCTCCTATATCTAGTGAAAAGATCATGAGTAGAGAGAAATAGTTTCTGACCTTATCATTTTCACACCACTGTCTGACCATTAATCTTCACCTCCAAGTTACTTATGGTATGCTATTCCTCCACACGTGCTGACCTGTGGACAGAGGAAGCCAAACTCTACTTTAAAATCAGAAAGTCAAAACCATATGCTAAATAGAATATTAAGCACAAGTCAGGATGAATCTGCCATTCCAACACCTTTATGCTTTCACTCCCAGTGGATATCTATCTCCTGGATTTATGCATTGCAATAATTCTTTTGAGGTGTTTTGAGTGATCTCTGGATGGCTCAGCTGTCCCTCCTCTCCTTTCCAAAACACCTTGTCAAACTACCTTGTTTTTGTTACAGCTGTGGCTGGAGAAATCTTCTCCAGAACATTTCATGTTGTCTAATTTTCACTTCTGGAAAATCATCTCTGGGTTAGCTAACCATACTCCACTTGAAACTAAAAAGAATAAATTAGTATTTCTAAGATAAAAATTATCTTCTCTTGAGGGTAAGTTAGGTCAGATTTAAGACAGTTATTGAACTGCTAATTTCTGTGCTTTGACTATAATGAGCTCTCAGTAAGCATTTCAGACATAGAAAGTTATGTTTTATAGTGAGATAACATTTAGCCATTCTACTAATTTTTATCTGTCAGGGATAAATAAATCTTCTATCAGATCCCTTGTATAGACAAAGTTTACAGTCTTACAAGCCCTGCAAAAAGCTCAGCCTCTTCTCATCTGGTTTATCTCCTGCAGTTTTTCTGTTAGCCACCTCTTTTTCACCTTTTTTTTTTTTTGCTTTTGAACATATTCATGTTTTATAAGTGTCAGCAATGAAAAAAAAAAATAAAAAAGTGTGTGTGTGAAATAAAATGGTCTAGAGGAAAGTCAAGAGGGAAGTATTTGTAAATAGAAAGTGACCTGGCAGCTCTGGAGTCAAGAGGTTCAGTCTGAAAGACAAGAAAGGGCATGTCCATAGTACAGAAAGTAGGGACCTGAAAGGGAAAAGAGGGGCATCTTCTTGACAGCAAACAAAAGAACAAAGTGATAGAGCTACTTTAATTTATTTTTTTGCCTTATACATTTACAAGGCTTGGGTTGAGCTAAGAAATGCAATTTCTTCCTTAGCATTTCTGTCCTTCATTCAGCAAATATTTTCTCTGGCTGCCTTGTGTTTGCTTCTCTCTTGAGCAATCAGAAACTCTGCCATCAGTTCTGGAAACAGTATCAGACACTTTGTAACCCATCAGCTGAGATTTAGGTCAGAAGTTTTGAGGATCTCAGATTCAGAGGGTGGTTAACATTCAGTCCACTCTGACTTTACCACTACTTTTGTAGGTAATCATTTGTAATTTGCCTTTGTGCAGAGGAGAGGGGCTTTCATTATGAAAACAACTGATGAAAACGTGTCCATTTAACCTGAGCAATCTGACACCGTTACACGTCAGCTGGGCTCTGTTGAGGGTGTGATATTGATGTCTGTAACACAGCAAGAAAAAACATCATCAGAGTGACTTGATGGGTTTGGTTGTTGAAATAGATACACTTGATTTATGATATGGTTGTCTAAATCTCATGTGATGCTGCTGCCAAGCTCAAATCCCTCTTGGAAACTCATCTGCTATGAAAGTGAGAATACTCTGAGCAACCTGAGGGTCACACACCAGGGCTCACTCTTCAGAGCCCGCACACACCTGTAAGCACTGGTGCATTCTCTGTGCAGGGAGCCGACTGAGAAACCTTCTCTAGGAAAGAGATGCAGAATGTCACCAAATGTTTAAAGAAATGTAAGAGTGATCCCAGGAAAAGCAGCATCTCAAATGTAAATCCAGTGTGTAGGTGTGAAACTAGTATCACCTAACAGTTTTGCCTCCACATCATTCAGCTTTGGGACTGAATGACACAGTTTTTGTCCTAGCATGTCACAGCAAATACATTCAGAGGCAGAAAGGAGAATTGGGACTGAAGTGCAGTGAATGCAAAGAAGTCACCAGGGATTTTTTTAATTTAAATTGTTTTCTTCTGTAATTCAGGGGAACTGCATTTCTCTGAGTAAAAAGGGATTCTACAGATTTATTTTTTTTTATTAGTAAGAAAATTAATGCATTGTTTAAAACTAATTAGTCCAATAGATCAAAACTGAGGGGAAAAAAAATGACAAAAACCCAGTAACATTTGGTTTTCATCAAGCTGACACAGCTGTCAGTTTGAGCTACCACACTATCTTACATAAATTAAATTGCAATATTTTAATGTTACCATTTTTTGTATATTGTTTTTTGGTGTGTCATCCTGAAAAAGGAAAATGGAATAATAAGCCATTTGTGTGCTAATGATGTACACAGCACTGCAATGACACAGATTCATACTGAAACAACCCCGTTTTGCTTAGCTTAATTGATTCTTAGCATTTTGATGCTGGAATGTGATATTTGGTTTCTTGGGGAAAAAAAACCAAAAACCCAAAAACATTATTTCCAAATTTCTGGTTTCTGTTTTAAACATAAATAGGCTGTAAGAAGGAAAACAACTTCTCATCCTGATTCAGGGAGAAAAGTCAGAAATTTCCCATGAGCCTGAAATTCTGATCTTTATTAATATTTGTCTTTGAGCAGCATGAGTTAAGATCCTCTTCTTTCCAGATAATACAGTGGGTAAATATTGGCATTGCTTTTACTTAGAGGAGTCCGTGTTAAGTGATTGGAGTTTCTGCTGTTTGGTTTTTCTCAGTGTTGCGTGGTGGGGACGGTACTCTGGCATAAACGAGGATACTTGACATTTCTAACCCTTTTAACTGTGAAGGACTGAATCACATTGTAAAGGGTTATTACTCTGGAGGAGATAAGATTGTAGTATGCCTTTTTATTGGCTACCTAGACTCTATGTCCTGTAGACTGTACATTGTAGAATATACTTCTTATCCCACTACCTCTAAGCTGCTGCTAAATCCAGCCTGAAACCTTTTATACTGTTCAAAAAAAAAAAAGCCAGGAAGTCTGAAGAAGAGGAACTGATAACCATCTCAAATATTGCTAAAAGTGAACATATATTAATATTTTAAATAATTGAATATATTTCAAGTTCTGAAGAATTAAAATTAGTTTTAAAGGTTTTATAGATCAAATTAATTTCTTGACTAGAACTAGAAATGTCCCTTTCAGGATAAGAAGCCACTGGAAAATCTCCTTGATACTTTTCTAATTCTCCTGAATACTTTTCTTATTCTTCTCTTTTACTAAAAAAGATTTATCTCTTATTTAAAATCACTACACACATTTCATATAGAAAACCAACTTCAAAAGTGTGGAGCTTTCTTCTTACCAGCAGTTATTAAAGCTCTCCAAATGTTTAGTCTTCTGCAAAACTGCAAAGAACTTCTTAGGTTTTTGACAGATTCAGGGATCTTATTTAACCAAGAAATTCACCTTCAGCCTCAAAAGACCTACCTGCTCATGGCAAGGTGGATTTTGGTTTAACTGTCTGCCTTCCCTGAGGCAGGAATATAATCCCTTTATATTTGTGTGTAAACTAGGAATCTTTTAAGGTTCTGTAAATATCCAAATGAGGACCATTAACTTATTTCCCTGAAATTATGTCATAACAGAAAGCTCTTACAAATGGAAAATGTAAGGATTTCCCTAATGATCATTAAAGAGCAAAGGATGTAGGATTTGCTGCCCTCATTGCAGCCAGATCCAAGAGCAGCTGGCACTCACTGCTCACCCACAGACAGCCTGGGCAAACACTGGGGAATAAATACAGGTGGCTTTGAGAGACGTGGGCTTGTAGCCCTGCTGCAGACACAGCACCTCTGAAAATCAGTTCAGGCTTGTGCTGTCTTCTGTTCTCTCTCTTTCTGAGATTTATTTCAGCTGAATGGCTGCCAGTGCTCTCAATATTACTGGCTCTTGGAGCCTGAGTTTCTTTAGCAAACCAACTCTGTCTGACTCTGTCTTCAGTATGTTTTGAAGTTGTTTTGGCTGAGGGAGGAGCTGGTGATGGCAGAAAAAGCCCCTTTTTCTCCAAACCATTGCTAGGCTTTACATTTTCTAATGCTGGAAACAGATCAGAAAAGAGGAGGGGAGGCAAGCTCTCCAAAGCTTTTCAGTAAGACTGCTCTGCTCCCACCCTCAGGACAGGCTATCTGTGAAGATCCCACATCTGAGATGCAGCAGCTTCTCAACACGTGCCAGCAGAATCTGCAGAGTCCTGGCAGAAGCATGCTAATGTCTTTGGGGTAGTTACTTTATGTTCATTTAAAATGCAATTAAACAGAACAAATACTGTGAGGAAATGGACAAGATTTTACATTTACATACAAAAATTAGGGGGAAGATCTTTTCATCACATTATAAATTTTATATAAACATTTTGGAAGGGAAATAATATGTGGCAATAATATAGACCGATATAATGAAATAACTAAAATGACAGTATTGTTGTCCATGGGGTCAAAAATTGTTCCCAGGAAAGATTTAATAATTTATGGAAGTGTTTGTCCCTGTAATTAAATGTTGGAATTGGGAGCCACATCCTGCCTGGTTGTTTTAAGTTCTGCAAAAAATTAATGCTAAACACTAGAAATAGAAACTTGTATGAAAAAGATAACTTTAGAAGGTTATTTTATTTTTGCCTAAAAACGCTCCTTTGCTCTGATTTATAAGGGGGTAGCCCTATTCTCAGACAAAATGCAGGATGCAGGCAAGGGGAACCATGGGATTTGTCTTGGAAAGGGAGTTGGAAATGAGCAGCCAGTCTATGATTTTGTACATGTAATGCAGTTGTACTATATGGTAATAAGATATTTCAACATATTTCTTAACAAGTTTATGGTCTGTATTGCTAGACACTGTCAGCTGGAGCACACCTGCTCACCCATTGATAAACATGACAAAGTTCCTGCTTAGGTGCTCTTGAGCTTGAACAAGGAATTTTCTGTATAAGGTCACAGAACTAAAATTCTAATAAAGCAGTTATGTTGAATACTACTTTTCTACAAGCATCTTCTGAGCCAGTGTGGCTTGTACAGCTCTTTGAATACACCAGGAGTTCAATTCTAATCCAGAGTAAAGGGATGAATTCCCATTTCAATGAATGCAAAAGTGGAAGTTTAGCTTTTGGCAGGCTACCTCCTGTATTTTTTCTGACTAACGTTAATGAGTTTGATATTATCATAATGTAACCATAGCATTTCATTTTTAATCTGAATAATTAAAAAAAAAATAAAAAGCTGGAGGCAGGGGGAAAATGGGGGAAGGGGAAAATTACTTGAAATGCAATCTGCCCTGTTTTCAACTCATAGGCAATACTAATATTTCTTGGCAAGGAGAATGAACTGAATTTATTTGTGCTGCTGAATGTAAGTGGGAGAGAGCACAGGTAAGTGGGAGAAAAACACGAATTCCCAGTTGCCCTTGAACAACTGGCCAGGACGTTCAGCCCTATCATTCCTTATGCCCCATAAATCCACACAAACATAGGCACAGGGGAAGGCTCTTTCTCTAAATAGCCAAGAAATATTTCTAGCAAGAGAGGCTGGAAACACTGTGTGCCTGTGGGAGCAATGAGGCAATGCTAGAGGACCAGATCCCTCCTGCTGCCCCTGGCTCTGGAAGGCCATGAGGTTGAATGTGACACTGTGGGGGTCACACTTCCCCAGATAATATCTGCCCAGACCCCCGACACGCTCGCGCCCCCAGCGAGCCTGGAAAAAGTCCCATCCTTCCTCATTACCACCACAGAAACACACCATTACAAGTGCCACAACTGGGCACTATTAAAACGTTCCTTTTTGTCCAGTGATGCAGCTGTGGGGTCATCATACAAAAGCAATCCATTATTTTGATTAGTGTAACACTTAAAGGCCGGCTCGCACATTAACTATTTTAATTGTCAACTACAACAGCACTGTGGTGTAACATTAAAGGTGCTCTGAAGTTTGCTGCTTGCTGACAGTGCATGACAGTTCTGCAGACCATAACACTTTCCCAAATGCTCTGAGGCAGGCAATATATATTTTATTTTTTAGCCTGTGTAGTCTGAATTAACATGAGTTTGTCTGAGAGAAGTCCAGATGGCTAGATTGTTATTAGTCACCCACACACACTGTTCTCTTGTAGAATAAAAATTTAAGTTCTGAAAAAATAAGGATGAGGTTCTTTTGTGTTCAAGTCTTTTATTGGTTTGTTTTTAAAATCAAATTACATCAATTTCTTGATAAATATGTTATCTTTCTTTAATTTGAATGAGATATCAGGGAAGCTACTCTAGATTTATTCAGTAGAGGACCTTTCCCCTTCCTCATAAATGGTCATATGTCTGCTCTCCTCAGCTGTCTTTAGATGTTTTTTGAATAAGATCTATATTTGATATTCCCTTAACCCTTAAAGGTTAAAGTGAATTTGCCAAGGAGACTCTTGTTTGTTTTCCTGCCCTCAGGCAATGGTCTGCCTCTGACACCTTGATCATCTTCCTGCATCACCACCAGGGACAACATGAAGTGGCCTTGTTTTCTTAAAGCATGGAATAAATACCAATGGTGGATTTTTCTCTCTGAATCCCACCAGTGTCCTCTGAGACAGCCTTCTTCCCTCAGGTCTACTTCATCCTTTTTTTTTTTTTTCTTTTTTAAGTCTATAGTCAGATTTTTTTTTTGGTTTTTTTTGGTTTTTTTTTTAGTTTTAAACATCATTATGAGGTCAAACAGGCCAGAGCTGCTGGCTGCCCCTGCAGTCAAATCTTCTGCCATCACATATCCTATAAACTCTTTTTCCTTTGATGCCAGTATTTGAATTCAGAGTTTATTTTGTAGTTTTTTTAGTGTTGATGAGATTATGGAAGAGATTTTTCAAAGGCATAAACAAGACTTATATACTCAAGTCGCTTTGTCTTTCAGCAGGACTAGCTGGTGCCAGAAGCATTTTGTGCCCTTGACAATCTTCCCGTTTCTCAAACAAAGATGGCACAAATAAAAGGTTCCTTCATTTTAAAGGCATTTGTAGAGATCATAAACTGAGGCTTAGATAGATAAACAATTTAAATCGTGTCTGCTGTGTGGTGCAGCTCTGCCCCAGAGTGCAGTGTGTACAGACCCAGAGCACGGTGGATGGGGCAGTAGCCGGGTTTAACAGAGCTGCCAGAGCCACAGGGAGGGGAACTGGGCTGGGACTGGGGGAACCAGTGAGGGACTGGGAGGAGGGAGGTGCCCAGTGTGAGGAAATGGAATATTTATGGAGAAACCAGATGGAGTAAGGATCTCTATCCCTACCTTGCCTCTCTCCTAATTTGGGGAGTTCTCTCGCTGCAATGCCGCATGACACAAAATCTGGCATTTGTGGTGACTGCTGAAGGAGGAAACTGCTAATAATATCAGGCTTCCAGCAGATGAAAAAGCAATTGGATATGAGCTGCTTTCTCCACCTCTCACCTCCACAGATCCAACTACTTAACTGTATACTATTCGTTAAGTAAAATCCCACTGCTGAATTCTGTTTACCTGGTAAAGAGACTTTTTTGTCACTGCTCCAATTAATCAGTGTTTCCTGTGCACATGGAAAGAATCTCTAGCATCTGATTCATCTAGTGAGTCCCCTGCTGTTGTAGATAATAGCAGGGTGTGGGTGGGCATGGCTGAATAATACGCCTTTAAATTCCTTGTAGGTTATAAGCTCTTGAGGCATAATGACTTTCTGGGCACTCTGTCATATGTCACAATGTCACATCATATAATATAAATATGACTCATGTAATCCAGTTTGATACATCGCCATTAGAATATCCTGAAGGGCTTTGTATGCAGTGAAATTATCCACTCAAAGTGTTTTCCCCCAGCATTTCACTGTTTCAGGCAGTAATATTTGCAGGAATGCGACCGATCCTTCCCATTTACCCTCAGACAGGGGAATCTCAAGGGCCTTTTCAGTCTCTTGACATGGCAGAGCATGGCACACTCACAAAACCTACTGAAAATGGTGTAAAATGGCAAGTTTTGACCCTCAGGAAGAGAAAAATATGGATATTTTAAGAGAGAGAACCTCTTAAATCCCTCTGGTAAACAGCAGGAGATGCAGTCTGTCAGTGTCTCAAAATCTCTGAAATCTGCTGAACCATTTGGCACTGCCTTATAGTTGAAAATGTTTTTTCCTCATATGATAATAGGAAAAGGAGAGATTTTGTGGGGTTTCTTTGGTTTTGTTTTGTGTTTGCTTTTATTTATTTTGTATGTAACATCAAGGAGATGCCTCAGTGCAGTAAAGAACTGTCCCAAACAGATATTTTTTTTTCTACATTTGCTTGCCAGGTAGTCACAGCAGTGATTTGGCATTCTAGCTAACAGGAGGTAAACACAGAAATAAGGAAGCACTTCAGCAAGCAGGCCACTGCTATCTCTTAAAAGAAGTGTCTAAAATAAATTAAAAAAAAAATAAATATTCTGTAAACCTCTGGAACAATAGATCATTATTTTCTCTCCCGCTTTGGTGGGGGTGGAGTTGCTGAGATGGAGCCGATTACCCCAGCTGCAGGGCAGTGTGGCACTGCACAAACAGCAGAGCACAGGCTGTGCTTTCCAAGGAGAGCCTTTGGATTGTTTGGAGTCCACCAGGAAGTCAACTCTGCCCTGGTTTCCGATGCGATTCAATAGGTTATTTTCCAAAGATGTCTGGAGCCAGAATAAAACCCGTCTAACAGAGCCATCAAGAATATTCCCATGATTATAAAACCACAGGGGGACAACTTGTTTTGGGAGGTGTACTGACAATGAACAACAAAACACTGTATGCATTATCAAGCAGATATTGTGTTCTTGAATAAAAGACTGATAATGCCTGGGCACACAGGGCTGCTTTCTGCTCACAGCTATAAACAGACTGCTCCTACTGACTTCTGACAGCTGCGTGCAACTTGGAAGAGAAACTCAAAGTTTTTCCTCTGAGGTGTATTTTATTTATTATTAATTCTCTCTGGGTCCTCCACATTTCAAAACTCACTTCTGCAGTGCACTCACTTCTTTGATCTGGGCTGTAGCCTCATGCACCTCCAAGAAGGAGGGTAGAGCATGAAGAGCTTTGGCTTCTGAACTGTTAATTGAGCTAGTCACAGGAGAGACAATGCTACTTGTCCTTTTGGCACTGGTTTTCCTCTTCCTACACACTCCCCCTAAAATGGTGACTCAAGCTAGTGAGGCACGGCTGCCCTCTGCCCTGCCCCTTCTCACAGATGCCTTTGGCACACAAGGCAGTCACAGCCTCCCTTCCCACTTGCTCTGCTGCCCTGTAAATTCATACTAACCTCAGAATATCCGGGATGCATGTGACCATGCTTTTCTTCTTTCCCCTGTTGTTTACTTCTTTTGCCTGTGATGCTTCCAGGTATGTGTTATTGCAGTCTAAAGGGCCATGCAGATACATGTTCGTACATGTAGCCCTTGTCTGGAGTGAACTTTTGCTACAGTCATTGTCACAGAGGCACTTGGATGTGCATAGATCCATCTGACTCAAGTGTCACAGTCAGAGTCCCTTTTACTTTGTTCCCCTACTTAGCACCAAGAGATGCTTGTTAAGGGCTCCTCCTTTGGGCTGAGGCTGAGTCCAAGTATGTAACACATTTCCTTTGTGGAGGTATTAATGTATCCTGAAATCCTACTCCTTTCCCTTTGGACACAAAAGGACTTAACAACTGCAGATTCTTCTGTGCTTGATGGCTGAGAGAGACAGAGTGATACAGGAACACTTAAGAACAGTACTCAGTGTCATTTTGTAATGATGCTGAATGGGCAGAACAAGGGTTTTCAATTCATCTAGTCATTTGGAGACAGTCTTCCTTGCAGTGGGATGGACCAGGATTGCTTAAGTAGCTGGAATATTAATTAGTGTCCATGAAATAACTTGAGAAAATATTGGTAACAAGTGAAACTATTCGAAATTTCAAGTCTTGTCAAGGACATATGCACAACTCTCACTCTGAGTGGTGGTTATGGAAAAAAAAAATCAAGAGCACTCATGTCCTTTATTGTGTATGATGCTGAGCATAGAGCAAAGTAAAAATCCTGCACCAGCTAAGGCAAATTATGTAATTCTGATAGACTTGCTGGAGATACTGTACTCACTGTTTAATATTTTCCCATCTAATATCCTTTTTTACCAAATACCTTTGCAGCAAGATGTTAGACTGTCAGTTTTTAATTGGGAGAATGGGTTCTGCACTAGTATCAGTTCCAAGAAGCACAGATAGGAGTTTAAGAACTTGTCTGTTGCTTCTGCCAAGTACTTCTTTCAGAGAGGAGAAAGATGTTTCGTCTCTCACTGAAAGCAGTAGGAATCAGAGCAGCTCTCCCGAAATCACCTTCCTGTCTGATGCAATGATCAGCAGAAGAGCAAGAGTGGCTTTTGAAAAGACTGCTGGCATATGGGCAACACAAATGAAGCTGCACATTGTGACACCCCTAAAGAAAGAGGCAAGAGGTTCAATGGTTGCTTTATGAATCTCACAGCTGGATCACTAAGGTAGGAAACATAAGCAGGCTATCATGTCACTCTTACAGGAGTGGAGAAAAGATGCTCCTCTCACAAGCTGAGATGCTGCAGTACTTTTCCTAATCAATGCAGGTCATATACAGTATTTCTGAGCTCCAGCTTTAAAAAATGAAACCACAAAAATGCAGTGTGCTGCAGTATGTGTGAGTTTGTGTTTGGATTACAAAAGAATTTTGGATGAGTTTTTTTCTGCTAGCATACTACCTTGCTGCTGTGCAGCTAGACTGACTTGGAAGAGTTTAAAGGGGAAAAGAAAAAAAATGAAAAAAAATTTAAAAAATAAAAAATAAAAAATAAAAATAAGAGTTTAATAAGCATGGCAAAACCTTCCATAACTAGACAACAGTTTCAGGCCTTGGTTCTCACATGTCTTTTCCGATTCTTTTCTCTAATCCTATTTCACTGCAAATGGATGTGGGATGGAACAACAGTGTGTGATGTGAGGACAGAGACTATCAGTAGAAATTAGTTAAACTTTCAGTGTTCTCAGAGAGCAACCCTTTCCATTATCCAACAGAAGACTCCCTTGCTGTTTTTTCCCATGGCAGGATGATGAGCATTACCAACTGCACTGTTCTAAGTGATAGAGATACACAGCTCTAGAAGAGAAATATTACTATATTCTTTCAGGAGATTTCAGACTAAGCAGTGTTTTCCAAGTAATATCTCTCAGTAAAGCCTTTGGATTTCGTGTTACTTGAGAACAGAAAAGACTCCTCTTTCCCTTTATGACTGGTATGTATGGGCTTGCACACAAACACGCTTCTCTCTCTTACACTTGTCAAGCAGTAATATACTCCACAATTAAAATCCTTCACTCTCAAATTACTGAATGACACTTCAATAGTCTTCCAATATCTCTATTTTCATTCAGAAGAGCAATGATGCCTTATGAACTTGCAAAGAAATAAAGGAAAAAGTTAGCATTTTTGATTTTTTATTATGAAGGAGAGAGTGGTTTACTAAAATTCAGATGTGCTTTTTTTCCCCCCATGAAAATACAAAACTTGTAAAATGGAAAAAATATTTTAAACATTGTCTTAAACTATTCCTTGTGACATGTCATTCAGAGTTTTGTATTTGAGAGCTTTGCTTTTATTAAAAAAATATTAAAAGCCCCATTGAAGAGTCATAATACTAGTACTCAGTTTTTGTCTCTGAATGCTAAAATCAAGTCTTTTCAGGATTTAGCAAACATCCACCTTCAAAGAAATCAGTCTCTTTGAATTCAGTTTAGACTACAGTAAATGCACAGGGCTAATGCATATGGAAGGCTGTGCTTCTCCACATCTAAAATTGTATAATATGTAAAGGCCCAGAGGCTTTTATGTTGGCCAATATTTTTGAAATATTCAATTGCCAATCAAAAATGTCAAAGAAATCATGTCCTAAAGAGATGTAAATCTTTGTAGTCAGTTAAACTCAAGATACTGAGTGGGAGGCAGAATTTCTGGACCTGGGCAGAGTTTAGGTATATATCCATGTTGGAAATAGGTACACTCAAGTGCTCAAACAGAGAAATAAGAATAAAAATACAGTTCAAATGTTAAATAAAAGGCAATGGTGTTAACTTCTCTGACTGACCTTAAAATTCCGTGAGAAGAATATATAAAGTCTCCTAATGCAGGGAATGGTTGCACAGGGAGATGAGAGGGAGATTAATGATGATGTGGAAGGGTGAATGAGTTCAACAAATGCCAAACAGTGATTTTTAGTTGTATTTATTATTCTACAGAACATGCTTTCTAGAATTCCTGAGGATTAATGAATTTGCCACATTGATGCAAACTGAGTCTGTTTTACCAGAATACTATTACTTGGGTAGCTTTTGTTGGGCTTTTTGTTGTTTGGGTTTCTTTTATTCAGGGTGGTTTAGCCAGACCCTAAGATGGACTCATTCAGAGGAGTTCTGGGTGGATTGGTAGAAAAATACGTTTGACTATATATTATGATGACATTTTTTGTGTTGGGCAATATATGCAGCGTATGTTATGGCATATGCACTGAAATGCTCGTGCAGGAGAGAGAAAAGAGAGATGATTTCCTGAGGAAGGCGGGGATGAAAGTTATGTTTTCTGCAGAAGTTGTGGAAACAAATCTTACTTGGGAATGGTGCCCAGGAGAAGGTGGGATAGGGAGCAGGGTTGCAGGATGTTCAATTTCCCAAAGGCCCCATGGCAGTGCAAGGGGATTCCTGAGCAGCCTGGGCAATATTTGCAACCTCTTTCATAAGCTACCCATTTAACAAAAGATTGTTTTACATAGGGATTTTTACCAGCTCTTTTCATGCAACTTATATACACCTATTAGATTAGGTTCAAGTTTCACTTGCATTCATGCTGTATCCAGACAACATGGATAAACTCTCCAGGCCTACATGCTGCTCTGCACATTAATTAAGATCCATGGAGGCCTAACACAGCATGCTGCTTGCCTGGCTCCTGCTTCCTTTCTCAGCATCACCATGGAGCCATAAAGGGGAGCACAACTGTTAGAAGGTACCTTTTGCTAATTGAGGGTGAGGTGTCCCAGCCACAAAGGAAGGATGCTACAGTGTAGAGGCTCTGTCTCCAGAGCTAGATTATTGAGTAGAGCATTAGTCCCTGGATTGTTATCTTTTCTTAAACTTTGAAATCCCTCACTCATTCAAGAAACTCAAAGTGTAAGGAACATGCTCCATGTTTCAGCAAATGTACAAGAGGTTCAGGGAACTGGCTAGCACATTAAACAGTTACCCTGTGGCCTGCACTGTAAATGAAGAGGAATAACAGCGGTTATCGAAAGTTGTTCTGCTTTGTCACAGAGCTACTGGAGCTGCCTGAGCAGCATTGCTTGCTTTTTTGGAAACCCTAGAGGAGAATATGACCTAGGAAAAATCATACCTTTGTAGTCCAATTGTTCCCATGCTTTAACAAAAAAAAAAAAAAAAAAAAAAAAAGGAAAAAATGATCAGGGTAGCAATATTGTACAATGTGGCTATGTTTTAAAGTTACTCAGAAAGTCCATATATTGTTACATTGCTTTCAGACACAATAAAAGGCCAGTTATTAATCCTGGCAATTATCCAGCCTTATCACTGCTATCCACACAGGCTGACTGAGGCTGGACTTCTAGATGATATTGTTTTCATTACAGTGACCAAAGTGAAATTTAATTAGAGATGCATCTCTCAAATGGACGATTGAAAAATTTAAGGATTAGGAAATTAATCCTAACACTTAATTACAATAAGATATATTGCCATTCTGGATGGGAGATTTTTGATAGTCTGTGTAGCTCTTCTGTCAATTCACTCTTTAGTGGCTGTAAAGCATGATTATGGGGATGGGGGGAAATGCTGCTCATGACATTATAAAGCATATCCTTCCTGTCAGCTCCGAGCATGGAACAGGAATATCTAATCAAAAGGGTTTGCACTGGATCATATCAGTTCCTGACTGCAAACTCTAAATCCACATTGTAGGAGCAAGACAAAATGATCTACAGGTAACAGAAATGGAAAAAATGAATTGATAGGGAGATCAGACTGTGACTAAATGGAAGCAGGGAGGCTGAAAGGCAGCATTTTAATAAGGAAGGCTTTTGTACGGTTTTCAGGTACAATTGGGCAGATTTGTATGAAGCAAAATTTCATCCTGGAGACCATTTAAATTTCATTGATAAGAATGTACTTCATTGCTTCATTTAGAAACTTCCACTGTGTCTTTTTCCCCCTTATTACTTTGTGTAAAAATAAGAACCATCTGTAGGAAAAAAAAAAATAAAAACCCACAGAACTTGTTTGTGTGACTGCTTTGCTGTTGTTGTTTAGATTTCTAGGAAACAGATGCATGTTTCTCATTTGAGGAAAGCATACATCTGTTCTGCCAAATTCTCTCCAGAAATTCTTAATTTTCCAGTTAGAGCTCATTCAACTACATTTGAAAATAAGAAACTTTCCCTCCATTATCTGTGTACATGCAAATATGTTACAAGGAAAGATGATCATTTT